ATATATATATATATCATCCATTTATAATTGCTGTTAATATATATACTGTTTATATAAGGATTATGTAGTACATTTTATATAACAAATAAAAATATATTATAAAAATAATTTTAAAACGCCACTGTTACTTTCTAGGTTGCAAGAGAAGATGTTACTCAAGTGGTGCCGTGGCTTGTTCTTTCACATATACCACTGGAATTTTGCAATAAATTTCTTTCTGTATTACCTTACAGGAAAGAAATTCAGAAGTGTCGTAACGCAAACGCTGAAAAGCTATACGGACACGTACTTGCCCTGTCACAAAAATGTTTTGAGATGCAATACGTGGAGTAACTGTCACAAACATTTACGATCGTCCAGCGTATTGCTGATGAGGGCTGTTATGCGAAGCAAACAATTCAATGACATGGCAAGAGGTAGCGCCAGCGAAAGAAGCAGTAACGTTACCTAATTAACGATAAAGCGAAATGAATTAGAAAGGAAACTCTCTTTGATGAGGAGCGTTGCGTTACAGCTCGTATAATAAAATATAAAACGCGTACTCATCGTTTTATGGCAGAAAAGATATACTCAAAATGATAAATAGTGATCATTTTTCGAATTATTTTATATACATCGTACATCCCTCTTTACTCGCTTCCGGGAGCTTTCACAAGAGGAGAAATTACACATAAAGAGAAATATTATTTGTTCTCTTCTAGTTTATTTTGTATACACATGAAATGTTTACATGTTTAAACATTGCAAAATATCACATTGCGTATTAGGCGTCTCCTGCACAACAGCGTAGTTCTTAAATAGCGATTTAATTATATGTAAAGACAATTCGTTACTACATTTTGAATCTTTCAATTTCTTGCCGCATTATTCGCCTATCATTTCTAATCTCTTATGAACTAACATTCTGGTCCCGATCGAGACCTTCCATGCGAACTGAATGTTAATACTGTACTAACGAGAATTTCAAGCACAATCTGAGACACACAATTGGACCTTGTATCTTTTTTTGAAATTGATATGAAATAATTTAGAACGACATACAAAGTTCATCGTTGATTTTCATTTTCCTAAGATTTAGCTAGTGACTCATTAAATATCACGAAATATTCGAATATAATTCAATTCGCAATTCGCGCAAGCTAAATTAAAATCTTGTCAAACATAATTACATAACGTATATCAATATAATTAAGTATACACATATACATACATAATTGTTCATTAATGATAGCTCAAATGAACAGTTTATATAAACTATACGCTTAACACTCCCCCCCCTCCCATCCCTACCTCCTCCAATTATGCATTCACATAATACACATTTACAATTGTACCACACTGGTAACTTTTACTGAAATAAATTCTAAATTAGACGAAAAATACGCGTATATATAATACAGAGACACAGACATCCAACATATTTATTTATATGCTGAGCTATCCATCTTTAAATTAATTTATTCTAAAAGGAAATCAATTTATACATATAGAGGACATAAATAGGGCTATATCGCATAATTTTCTAGCTGTGTAATATAATGTGCTTTTCTCTCAAACACAATATATACAACGAAAAAAATTATAACTCTACATTTTCACGCTAGATCTGGTTAAAAAATTCCGAGAAAATAATATCTAAAGCAATGAAATTATCTAACGAAGACTGTATTACTTTTCATTTGATTGTTTAAATACATGATTATTAAAAACAAGATTTTCAATCAACAAAGAGAAAGTAACAAATCAATAAGAATTATTCATTCGTTTATTGATATTAATAATTTAGATTTTGATCAATTATTTATGCCTTATGTGTCGCACACTTAATGCTGGAACAACTTTTATATCAGAAATTTTCAAATATATATTTATCAAACTATGTTCTTATATATTTCAAAATATTCCAAATAGATTTTGAATCATATAAAACAAATTTAAATAAATTTTCGAAATCGGAGATATACAAAAAAACTCTAAATTGTATAATAAAAATAAAATATTTTTTCATATAATTAAAAAATATTTAATGAGAATTTGACTCTTAAACATTAGATGCATACATAAAATTTCGAAATAAGAGAAAGAGATACATAATAATTTTAATAACATCTTTTATAAAATATTGCAAACAGTATGGATGCAAAACTTTTTAAAAAAGATTTAGCTAAATGATTTTTTCGTAGATATCACCGACATCGCAGATAACGTCTGCGACGAATCTTCTAATTCTTAAAGATAATATCGTAATTATTTTCGAAAATGATTTCTATTGGAACACGACGATAAAAAATCGTATATGTAATTCAGTCTTACTGTCAGTAGAATTGTCTAAAATTTTCTTCTTTTCTTATCTACGTGCTTGAAATTACATCATTAAAGGATCAATTAAAGAATTAACTTTCTCTTTTTATCACTATTCTCTTTTTAGTTTACTGGTTTATAAAGATGAGATTATTAATCTTAAATGTTTGTAATACAGAGACTCTCGGAATAGTAAATTGTTAATACACTTGATACAAAATATTTATTGAGAAAAATTACGCGGAAGTCTATTTACATAATTTACTGGAAATTGTCCTTTCCTACCATTGTACTCACCATACAACCAATCTTCCGATAGCCTTGATATGACTGTAATCTTTGCGCCCTCCTGAAACCAGTTCAAATCAGATATCAAAATATAATAAATTTTTCGTCCAAATTGTCTAGCCGTAATCTTTCGTACCTCGAATGACAAATCATTGCTGTTCTCTCCTGGAAAAGCGTAGAGTGCTGTGACTACATTGTCTGGTAAACCTGGCAGAGGTACTTTAATATCGATGAAACTAAGCGGAAAGATCCCTTGACGATTTTCTATTCTTCCTTCCAACCAATCGTCATTGACCTTTTTCGTTAATTGCACGAGATCGCCTTCTTTTAAAGCCAAATCGTCCGGATGTGTTGCCGGGAAATCATACAGTGCAATACCGTGAGGTTTATCAGAATCTCTCTGTAAATTATTAATATTATTAATATATATTATTTTCTTTTAAAAATTTTTATAAATGAAATTATATGCAATTTTGAATATTTACAATAGTCACTTCAGGATCGCTGCCAAATTCTGTCAAGTAATTCACAGGTAGCGTCGGCGCTGGAATCGTTGGCATGGGTGGTGATGGACTATCACTCTCTTCACCGTCATTCGACCACGCATTTGAAAAATGTAATGTCAATGGTTTATTCATCACGCTGCCACTCGAGACTTCAAAGTCATTACACATTTCCTTAGGTATTGGTTCCAATTTTTTAAACGGTATCTTTGGTGCTGGAGGTTTAGGAGGCTTCGCTCGAATTATCGTTGGCATCGACGTGACGAGAGGTTTAGAAGTAATCAAATTGGAAGGCACTTGGTTCGCTACGCGATTATTGGTATTAAAAGGAAAGAGGCACGTGCCGCTAGCACCTTGAGACACGTTCGAGCATGTGTCTTCAAGAGGCCCAAATGGATCATTCTGCACTGTCGTTTTAGTCTGCCACGGATCATTTTGCGTTATTTTCCTGGCGGATATGCCAAAAAAATCAAAGTCATCCTCGAAGGCACTTTCCGTTTGCGACGTGTTTCCACTACTCGTAAACACGGATGGGTTGGAGTTTCCATCACTACCAAAGCTGTCAACGCTGACACCATCACTGGATCGTGTTGTAAATGTCGGTGACCCAGGTGGACTGAGGTCTATCAAGGATACCGTCGCACTGGAATTTGTGGGTTGCATTAATTGTGAATTTTGATTCTGGTTGGTGAAACGCGATGAGAGAGGAGCATTCTCCTGTTTCTTTCGCCCGAAGAAGTTAGTCAATAGCTCCGTTGGCCTGGCCTAACCATACAAAATTAAAAAAGACAGCTATTTTGATTATCGTATCTCTAGCGTAAAACTATAAATAAACTTCTTAAACTATACAATTCTTACTGGTTTTTTCGGTTTTAAATCTTTCTGATACTGCGTATGATTATGGTTGAATTTTGGAGGTGGTGGTCGAGGAGGTGGCTTCTTCTTTTGTACAGGTTGTGTCAGAGCATCCCCAAATATATCATTACTAGAAGATAGAAGAATAGCATTATCACAAAGAACAATGCAGAGACTAAAAAAAATTTCAAAAATTCAATGGAATTTCTCATAGGTATTTTTTGAAATAAGAAATTTGTTTCTTGTAGTCAAATCTTTGTCTCAGACAATACCACCCGCTGCATTTTACACACATGTTAAACACATGGAAAATATAACATAATGCATAGCAAGACCTTGCGAGACTAAGCAAAACCTACCTGCTGCTCCAAATCGGGTCTCTCTGTGTCGCACTCTGACCCGGGGGACGAGGCGCCGAACGCGTCGGTATTCGCATTTCTGAAAGCAACAACAACAGACGACTATGATCAGCCGACTACCGATTACTGGTGCCAGTGGCAGCTGGGCTCTGACGCACGAGCCGTTCCTCGTACACGCTGGTACGCACGAATTTATGCGCGCGCGCGCACACCGCACGACACAAACGAGCCTACGCACGCATGCACGCGTGTGCGAGCGAGATGTTTGCTATGAAAAATTCTTCCAAACAAAATGCGTGACTGCGTGACAGATGCCATAAACGTACGTACGTACGTACGTACATGCGGGCGGGCGGGCGGACGGACGGACGGACGGACAGACGGACGCGCGGATGGACGGATGTACGATTCACGACGCACGATGTACGCCCACTCGACGCGGATATCGCGGCGATAAGCGAGACCGGTGGTGGCGCGTTTTATCTCATCTCGACACTCGCGAGGCGATTCGAAGAATCGGGCAAGCCGAAGAGTCAAGAGTTCGACGCTCCGCGTGAACGAAACGGACGACCGACCGGTCGTTTTATCGAAAAGAAACAAGGGAATCCGATATCACGCGCGAAGCTACGGCGAGGGCAGAGGAGGGGAGGGGAGGGGCGGGGCGGGAAGGGACGAGAGGCGCGGGACAGGACATCGCGCTCGGATCTCCGGAACGGAAGCGACGACGATCGCCGTGTGGGATCGCGGACGGAAAATGCGTAAAGAGGCATGGGCCCCCCCTCGGGATCTCGGTCGTTACATTGTCACTCACCTGTTCTCACGTTCGCGGCCATTTTTCACACTCGCAGCGCCAGCGACGTCCCCGTCGCGACAGCGCGTTTCGAAAACAGAGTCGCTTTCGAATTCGCCTCCTGCAAAACGGCCGGCCCCCGCGTGAGATTTCGATTTCCATTTCCCTTCTATGACGTCACGTAAGCCGCGTATGCGTACTTTCTTTTTTTAAACGTTTCTTTCGTTTGTTTATTTATCCGCCTTTAACGCGACTGGCGCAATGTGAAAGATACGTTACATGTAGCGCGAGTCTCGTAACTTATCTGCCGTTGCGTGTGTGTGTGTGTGTGTGTGTGTGTGTGTGTGTGAGACTTCGAGATGAATTAAATTTCCTTAGAATAAAATAATTATGAATTGAGATTTAATTATTAACTTTGTATACCGCAGTGCTTTTTATTATATATCTAATTATATGTATAATACCTTTTCTTTTATTAACAATACCTTTTTTTCTTATAAATGGGAAATATTTAAATAGCCACAAGTTAACCTCTTGCTGTCCTTTTTCTTTTTATTCTTTTTCTCAAAGCGTTATGAATCTGCGTTTTCAAGTTTTTTTTTTTTATAAAATTACATAAGGAATTAATTGCTCTTTAATCTGATGTCACAGCTAATGTAAAAATAACGCAATGTTGACGCAAATATCAATGATGGCTCAAGACACTTGTGGGCCTTACCCAAAATGGTTTTAAAGTGCCTTATTTAAAATATAATAAAAGCAAGAGATATTTATACTGTTTAATCATAGTATAACTGAAAAATTCTAATTGTCAAATTGTAGTAATTATTACGCAACAATGATGATAAATATTCATGCACGTTTCGAGAAATTTTTAATATAGTTACGCAAATAATCTTTTGATTAAATTTTTTTATATAATAATTTTATAATTATTTCAATATAATTTTCTAAATTTTAAATTTTTGATATTTTTTATCAGCATCATTATATTTTTAAATTAAAATTTCTTAGCGATCCTTTTTACAATAGGTTTGGTGATTCAATATGTAAGACAGA